GATATATACCCAGAAGTGAAATTTCGGATGATATGGCAGTTCTATTTTTAATTTTTGAGGAACATCCATACTGTTTTCCATAGTTGCTGTACCAATTTACATGCCCACCAACAGTGCACAAGGGTTCCTTTTCCCCACATCCTCGCCAGCATTTGTTGTCTCTTCGTTAATCATCATTCTTTTAAAGCAGTCTTAGATTCACAGCAAAATTGAGTGGAAGGTACAGAGACTTGACATATACATCCTATCCTGTCCCTCACACACAACTTCCCCCACTACTGACATCCCTTGCCATAATGATACATTTGTTACAATCAATGAACCTACAATGATACATTATCTTCACCCAAAGTCTATAGTGTACCTTAGGGTTCACTCTTGGCAGTGTACCTTCTAAGGGTTTTGACAAATATATAATGACATGTATCCACCATTGTAATCATACAGAATAGTTTCACTGCCCTAAAAATTCTCTGTATTCTATCTATTCATCCCTCCCTCCCCAACTAAACCCCAGCAACTGGTGATCCTTTTATTATCTCCATAGTTTTGTCTTTTCTGGAAGGTCATATAGTTGGAATCATATAGTATGTAGCCTTTTCAGATTGGCTTCTCTCACTTAGTAATATGTATTTAAGTTTCCTCCATGTCTTTTCATGGCTTAATAGCTCATTTTTTCTTAGCTCTGAATAATATTTCATTGTTTGGACATAGCACAGTTTATTTATCCATTCACCTAATGAAGGACATCTTGGTTGTTTTCAAGTTTTAGCAATTATGAATAAAGCTGCTATAAACATCCATGTGCAGCTCTTTGCATGAACATAAGTTTTCAATTCATTTAGGTAAATACCAAGGAGCACAGTTGCTGGATTATATGGTAAGAGTATGTTTAGTTTTGTAAGAAACTGCCAAATTGTCTTCCAAAGTGGCTGTACCATTTTGCATTTCCACAAGAAATGAATGAGAGTTCCTATTGCTCCACATACTCGCCAGCATTTGGTGTTGTCAGTGTTTTCGATTTTGCCATTCTAATAGGTGTGTAGTGGTATCTCATTGTTGTTTTAATTTGCAATTCCCTAATGACATAGATAGCCAGCCCTGGTGGTCTAATAGTTAGGATTTAGTGCTCTTACCACCGCAGCCTGGGTTCGTTTCCCAGTCACGGAACCACATCACCTGTCTGTTGGCTGTCATACTGTAGTGGCTGTGTGTTGCTGTGATGCTGAAACCTATGCCACCAGTATTTCAAATACTGGTAGGGTCACCCATGGTGGACAGGTTTCAGCAGAGCTTCCAGACTAAGACAGACTAGGAAGAAAATCTGGCTACCCACTTCCGAAAAAATTGGCCATGAAAACCCTACGTAATAGCAGTGGAGCATTGTCTAATGTAGCGCCACAAGGTGAGAGGATGGCAGAAAAAGATCAGGTAGGGTTCCACTCTGCTGTACACAGGCTGGCTAGGAGTCAGAATCGACTTGACAGTACTAACAACAAAATGACATAAATAGATAAAGATAGATATAGATATAGACATATATAGATGTATATAGAGAGAGTGGCTGTGTGCCAAGAAAGAAGAAATAGATTTTTCAGGGGACACCTAGCCTTCTGACATACTTTTTTATTAAAATAAACGTCATTGAAGCTATGAATTTCACTCTGAGCACTGCTTTAGCACTTTAAATTCTGGTTATGAGGTATTTTCATGGTCAAGAGTTTTGTTTCCTGATTCTATTATTAATTTCTAGTTTTATTGCATTGTGGTCACATAATGTTGTCTGTTTTATTTCTTATGTCTTGGAATTTATTCAGGTTTTCCTTGTAATCAATTTTGCAAATGTTCAAAGGGCACATGAAAAGAAGATGAGTTTTCTATTTTCAGGCTATAGAGTATATTTCTATTAAATATTCTATACTAAGTATATTATTATTTAGGTATTCTCTGTCCTTTCTTTTTGTTGTTTTTATTCCTTTAAATGCCTGTCATGGATTAAGAGAGGTGAATTAAATTTTACACATTTATGTACTTTCTTATCATTCCTGTAGTCTAATACCAAAACCCATCAAAGATATCACACATACACAAAAACAAAAGGACACACCAATAATTTCTAAATATTAGGAAACCAAATTCATCAACATTTTAAAAATAATAACACACCATGACCAAATAGGGTTTATTCCAGAAATGCAACGGTGACTTAATTTTAGGAACTATATTATTATAATTCAATATATTAACACTTCAAAAGAGAAAAACCATATGATTATCTCTATAGAAGCTGAAAAGGCATGTAATTCAATGTAATATCTATTGATTTTTTAAAATTCTAACTAAAACAGGAACAGATGGACACAAAAAAAGTCTATCTAAACCTAAAAGCCAATACCATCCTTAATGAGGAAACAGTAGCAAGCTACTATATAACTTCAAAAAGTTTACTACTATTTTGATTATCTTATAACAAAATATTAGCAGTATCTGATATTGTGATTATGGTTTCGAAGACACTGTAGCCTGAATTTAGTCAGAGTTAAAGCTTGATTAAATTAGATATAAATCTAGTGACTTAAGAGCAATAATGTCATATTGAACAATAATAATTCTACTTTTGTATTCAATACTATAGATCTATAAAAAGCAAGGTAAAAGATATTCTTACTCCAAGCAGTGTGTCATAGAGTCAAAATACAGACATACACTGGGGAAAAATTAGTTCTTAAAGAATCATTTGTTTGAGAAGATACAGCATCCATTTACGATAAAAACTCTGAATAAAATGGGTATAGAAGGAAAGTACCTCAACATAACAAAGGCCATATATGACAAACCCAAAGCTAATATCATCCTCAATGGTGAAAACCTGAAAGCTATCCCTCTAAGAACAGGAACCAGACAAGGATGTCCACTCTCACCACTCCT